TTTCAGCGCGCACTCTAATCTTACCTCGTGGTAAACGGCGAAACGCGTGCGCGAATCGCTTGCGGTTCATCGCGCGATCGACGTCGTCCTCGAGATCGGCAATCGCGCAAGCGTGCTCGCGATGTCTGCTGCGTGACATCCGGTATATGATCGCGAAGAGAGAAAGAGAGAGAAAGGATTCGAAGTTACCCCCGAAGATACACAGAGAAAAATGGCATTCTACTCTGCTCAGAAAAGTGACTGCTCTGTTTACTTTCCTTCTTTTAAGTAACACTTCAACAATATTTTTTTTATAATAGTCTTAGGACATACTCATTATAAATTTGAAAAAAGCTCATTATCACACACACTCGAAAGAAGTATTTAGTCTTTACTTTCTAAATTTCTCGGAGTAGAATCTCATTCAAAACAAACGGAGAGTGGCAGTATTTTTACTCGAAGTGATAGCGAAAATACTGTCACCCCAAATCACAAAAGTGAATACTTTACTCAAGCTTAGAGTAGATTCTGACTTCATATACCAAATTTGTTAAATCAACGTGTAACGACAAAGATGTAGAAAGAAATGAAAGAAGCCAATACCAGGCATGATAAGACTTAGGGCTGGGAATCGAACCTGAGATCTTTCGATTCTGATTTCGTATTAGTGAATTTTTTACTCGATCAGAGTGAATATATGACTGTGACGATGAAATGTATCAGATTGAAAATATTTACTCGATGATTCTCAGAATGAAGAATTTACTCAATATGAGTGAAATTACACTCCAAAAAATTTGTAAAGTACAAAAGTATTATGAAACTATTGAATATAAAAAGTTGGTTCAACTTTATGCAATAAAAATCGAATTTTTGCTTTGATTTCATATTCTTGATTAAAATGCTAAACTAACTAGATTTGACGGTCATGATCAACTTGTAATAGTTTTGTGTATGTATAAAATCATGAAGTATTTGAAACAAGTATTGTACGTTTACATGAATGCAATATATATTTTTCTGTATGTAATAGATATTGCGACAGAGCTGTGGCTTTTACGGCCACAGACAAGAGGATTGTGCCTAATTTTGGAAATGAGTTTGTGAACTCATCCGTCTTGTCCGATGGCAGCATTCTTCTATTAGAAAAGGGATTTTCTCATTGGACAAGACAAGAGAATTCACGAACTCCTCTCTCCCCTCACTATAAGAGAAAACCTTACATTGTGAGAAAAGAAATGTCTAAAAATTAACAAATATTTATTCAGTGAGTATTCTAACAACATATTTACTTGGATCTAAATTCTTTTATTTAAATAGAATACATGAAGGTGAGGCGAAGATTTTCTTAAAGCTTTAAGAAAATGTATATTTTCTTATATGAAAAATATTTTATTTTAATATAAGTGAATATATATATATATATATATATATATATATATATATATATATATATATGCTGTTAGTGTATCCACGAAATAAACATTTACTATTTCCTAGACTTTTCTTAGTATACAAAACGAATTTTCCGGAAATAGACTTTAGCGACGTCGGACATCGCGCGCGATGAAATCGCATGCGCCGTCATCGTACGTGCCGCTTCTAATCGGCGCGCGCGGTCGGATAACTCCCCGGGATTAATCCCCGAAACTCAGCATCGATCCCGAGCACGATTCGTCTTTCTTTGGCGCCGGGCTATCCGTCAGCGCGCCTAGAAACTAGATCCGCGCAGCTGCCGTGTCGCAGCCGAAACCGGAAGCCGCCGGCCATCTTGTTTGTACAGTAACTATGGTTACCATGGGAGATCCTGCGAGAAAGAGAGAGAGAGAGAGAGAGAGAGAGAGAGAGAGAGAGAGAGCGAGAGCGAGGATGCGTAATGTGTACACACGATCCGATCCGTCACACGGATCTTTTTGTCCACATCTACCACGACGTGTCGCATTCTCACCCTCTTCCGCGCTCTCATTGGTGCTTCTGGTTTTAGATTCCTGGAATTTATGACTCGATCGTGTCGCGGGGTGAATTGAACGCGAACGCAGGGTGGTGGGCTTTTCCGCCCCTTCTACCTTCTTCGACCGCGCGCGACCCTTCTACCAGCGGGAAAACCGGCAGATGGCGATTCTGTATCGCATCTAATCGGCTTATCTCGCAGGTCCACCTTCATAGATACAATCTAGCGTGCGTTCGCTTCTTTAATCATCGCGGCCGCAAAAAGCGCGACAAATTGTGGCGTAAATGCCAGCTTATTAACGCTCAGTATAATGCGAAGAATGGATTTGAGGTCGTTCAGGTAAACGTATCTGACTCTAAACATTTTTATTGTTTTGGTCTTTTTAAATGCGAATATTTGAACTTTTAACATAGAGAGAATATATGTATACATGTATTGTGAATATATACATATATTATGTACTGAAAGTATATATATTTGTATTTAAACATCAAAATAATAACAATGTCCAGAGTTAGGTATGTGTCTAAAGCATTAGTGATTTTGCTTCTCTCTCTCTCTTTCTCTCTCTCTCTCTCTCTCTCTCTCTCTCTCTCT